GGGAACACGGGAAGATGTTGCAGGCGAGAGAGTTGAAGGCCCGTGTGCTCAGATTCGGGCGCACGTTAAAGAACCCTAGGTGGTCAAAATTTCCGGAGCCCTCCACTATGGCGTCTCTCATAATCATATCGTGGTTTTGGGACGCTAAACCACATATATCAACAAAGACAGAGAAAAAAAGGAGATAAAGAAAAAGAAAAAATGTAAAGAAAAAAGAGGCAGGGAAGAAAGAAGGAAAGACAAAGAAGAAAAATGGAGCAGGAGAAAGAGCAAGTACAGAGATAGAGCGAAAGAAAAATATTTAAATTGAAAGGAGAGAAAAGAAATGAAAGATAAATGGAAAACAGAGATAAATATACAGAGAGAGAAACAAATAAACATACACAACAAAATAAAAAACAGACAGCAAGCGTAGCCATGCATATCAGTATAGCAAGGAATGGGGAAGAGAAGTAGCCGTGACGAAGAGGGAAAGGTGTAGGTGAGAGGGCGCAGCACAGCCTTCCAAACTGAATTACAACAATAAGCCGGAAAGGAAAAAAATGAAGGTGAGGAGGAAGGAGAAGAGGAAAGCAAACCCACTTCGCCACTTGCGTGGCCTTCGCTCTAATATTGCGCAGCTTCTTGTTTTTTGTTTTAATGCAGCATAAGAATCTTCATAGACCTGCACGCATCCGAATCATGCCTGACATGATTGCTGTGAATATGCTTGTTTTAAAGCTGCGAGTGGCAAGTCGGCCTGATCTCGAATGGCATGCACATCGACTTTGGTGGTTCTGTGGCTCGATGCGACATGAAGCAATCGATTTTCGAGCAGAAAAAGTGAAGGAATGCTGTAACTGACGCAACCACAGTATTGGTAGAAGCTGCGAGGTGTCAGAGGGGCCTGGCAATCCAACTAGACCCGAGGTTGATGCAAATTGTTGTTGCTCTTACGAAAACCTGCGTGACACACGCACACACAGACAGGGAAGGAACATAGGACCGTGCGTTGTTTTTTGTTGTTGTTTATTGCTTTTTTTCATTTTTCTCAAGTACGGCTGAGCTCTTTTAGGTGAATAGTTTAATGAATTTGAGCGTACAAACCGTATTCGTTATAGCCGATTGTCTTGACTGCAGAAGTATAATAGAAAGGGCTGACGAAAACCAGGTGTGCTCAAGATTTTTTACGTTTTGTACATTCTAGAGATCATTCTTGCGTGTGCTTTGTACTTTCCTGAGATGAACACCACGAGAATTTAGCATACGAACCCTAAAATGGTGCTTTGTGCCACTTGAAGACACAAGTCGCCGATAATCTCATCATGTCCCATCAAAAAAACAAGAAAGGCTATAAGATGGAAATGCATTTCATTTTCGTGTGAGCGACATGAGGGTTTTCGTGCAGGTCATGATTGGAAAAGACGACGCTAAAGCTGATTTAGAGAAAAATGGTGGTAATTTTGGTGACGTATATTCAATGAGTCAGCCTCTGAGAACATTCCGTGTAGATTTCTATTATATACTAAATCTCACATGTTTTCTTTTGTGTGTTTATGTGATAGAAAGGAGGAAGGGGAGCTGGATTGATAACCACCCCCTCCAACCTTTCCTTCACCAGAAATGTTGGCTTTGTTGTGCGCAGTGATGTAGTGCAGGTAAGCTACCATGCTGGGACATTCGTTGGGGCAAAAAATTTTAAAATTTTCGTCTGCCATGACATTTTATAACACCGTAATGGCGTTCCACAGACCCTGTTTAAATACAAAAAGCAATAATTACAAATAACTATTTGCGTTATCTTAGGGTGTGTTCCAGAAAGCCAGTCGTATGAATTAGATTATAATAAGTGACAAAAACATAATGTTACTCCGAAATTAGAAACACTAGACTCATCGCACTTGGTCTACAGCATATTCATTGCACACTTCATCAGTGGCATAACATAAGTAATACATTCAATGTTGTTAATGTGGACACATAGACATGACGAAATAAATTAACCCGTGTGATCAACTTGCATTCTGTACGGTCTTATATATAATATTACGTGCTCCACGAAACGTGTGAGCTCGCGTTAAGGCTTCTGAATTATTAGCGCGCTGCCTGATGCACTTCAAGTGAAAATAAGTATGTGATAAAATTTAGAAGCTATTTGGCAGTAGATCTGCATCAGAAACAATTTGCTCTAACAGAGATCTTCAGAGTTTGTACTATAATAGCAGGTCAGTGGATTTGGTGTACGTTCCTAGCATTTAAATATTATCTGCACAGTGTGATACTTATTGTTCAAAAATTAGCCTTAATACGTTGCTCGCTGAGCTTAAGAAAGAAATGGCTGATCCCACGTACAGTGTGAATCGATGATATGCGAAGCACGAATGAGGAAGGCTGATATGTTACTTTAAAATGAGCCCAACGTTACGAGGCGAAAGTAAATTATGCCGCACATGACTTTTGTGTCTTTGCCATCACGTTTGGACGTGTCATTTACCTTCATAGCCTATGCTCGTCATGTGACAACACATTTTTGGTTTATGTGGAGCTAGCGAAATACCCATGACCACACTCTAGCATAGCATTTAGTCACGTTTTACATGACACGAATATCATGATTATCATGTTTCGACGTGTCACTTACCTTCCTAGTTCATTCACGTCACTTAATACCAAATTTGGTTTATGTGGAGCTAGCGAACCATTCGCGACCACAGTCGAGCATAGCATATTTAGTCATGTTTTACGTGACACGCATATCATGATTATCATGCGAGGACGTGTCATTTGCCTTCATAGTTCATTCACGTCACGTAATATAAAATTTGGTATATGTGGAGCTAGCAAAACGGCCGCAAACTCGCTATGAGCGCCACATGTGGTCATGTTTTATATGACACGCATATCATGATTATCATGATTGGGCGTGTAATTTACCTTCATCGTCTATTCTCGTCACATAATACCAAATTTGGTATATGTGGAGCTAGCGAAGCAGCCGCGAGAAGACTATGAGCGTAGCATGTAGTCATGTTTTACGTGGCACGCGTGTCATGATTATTATGTTTAGACCTGCCATTTACCTTCGTCGTACGTCCGTGTCACGTAATACCAAGTTTGGCATATATAAAGCTAGCGAAACGGGCGTGAGCACACCATGAGCGCATGGCCTGTAACCATGACCTCCATGGTAGGCGTGTCATGATTTCTACGTTAGGGTCTGTCAGTTATCTTCTCCATGCAGCCATGCCACACCATAAGTTTTGTAATATGTCATTTGAACGAAACTACCGCAAAAGCAGCAAGACCATGAAATGTAAATAACGACATTCATGACATTCATGTCATTATTTTCACGTTATGACTAGTCACTTATGCTCGTCATACATTTATGTTATGCCACACCAATTTTGACATTGATTCCATTATCGTAACGGCAAGGGGGCTAAATTTCGATAGATAGATAGATAGATAGATAGATAGATAGATAGATAGATAGATAGATAGATAGATAGATAGATAGATAGATAGATAGATAGATAGATAGATAGATAGATAGATAGATAGATAGATAGATAGATAGATAGATAGATAGATAGATAGATAGATAGATAGATAGATAGATAGATAGATAGATAGATAGATAGATAGATAGATAGATAGATAGATAGATAGATAGATAGATAGATAGATAGATAGATAGATAGATAGATAGATAGATAGATAGATAGATAGATAGATAGATAGATAGATAGATAGATAGATAGATACGCTAAAATTCGCTGACCTTCGCTAAGACAAGCTTCACATGCAAATGTTATCGCGTCCCCGTAACCGTAAAAAGGTAGCGGACGTTAGTTCCGCCATTACTCCATGGTCAGAAATCTTAATCAGTGCGTCTCCACATCAAGATCCTGGAACAGCAAATTGATCAAACTCATATTTTTTCTCACATTAAAATTGTAGCCCAAACAAAAATGTTAGCAAAAGTACTTATTAAACATAGAATATTTTACGACTATTGTAAATTGACAGCACCATAGTGACCCAAGATTACATGTAAACTAATGATGGCTTCAAACTTTTCGCTAGCATGATAGTCAGAGCGAAAAGTAACTAATTACGTAAGGCCCCACGTTACCGAAAACTTACAACGTAAGTGCGTTACCCACTGCAGTTTTGAAGTAGTAACGAGTACGTTACAAAATTACTGAAAATAAGTAATGCTATATCGCTAACGCCATTACTCGTAACGCGTCACCACCAACACTGATTTTGCAACACCGCACTGACGAGAGAGGAAATGGGGATTGGAATTGTACTTAGAACCCATTCGCCCTAATTTTATTGTGTGGAGCCATGATTTGCTACAAAATTACGTTCCACTCAGCAAAGTTTAATAACGCTCCCTTTAGTCTCGGGCGTAAAAAATTCTCCCCAGATGCTTGTCTAGGCGTGCGGTGTGCTAAGGTATTCGTCACAATGACACAATCACCCGAGGTAATACTGTAGCGCTTCATTTTTATCGTTTAATTACTGAATCATTTTAGTGCGCACCTCAAGACACATGCAAAAGGAAAGCTCTACCCGCCTGTATGCCGCTACAGTTAGCATTGAATTGGCTGAATCAAGCAGTAGTTGCACGGCAGCCGGGTAAGTTATCAAATACTATGTGCAAAGTATGGCGCTGATGCAGGAGGTGACACAGAAATATATATATTTTTGAGTATATAGAAAGAAAAGAAATGAATAAACGAAGACGATGTTAGAATGAGCCTTCTGTACATCGGTGACGCTGCCTCGCTCGCAACTAAAATTCAGGCGAGCTGGCTGAGCCGACCGCCAGAGCGACGGCGTCGCTGGCGTCGTGCACATTGACGCCCGGCGGTGGCGGCGAAACCCGGGGCCCGGAAGTGCTCTTTCTCCCACCAGAACTCCATCCTCCCGCGCCCCATGACGTCACGACCCTGTTGGCGTCGGCTGCGCGCCTGCGCGAGAGATGACCCGGGGCTGCCGGTGCGTTCGGTGCCATTCATGCTGCAGAGCACCTAGCGGGCCAGGCTCCACTATGACCGGGCTGCTTCTGCCGCCGCTGCTGTTGCTGCTTGCCGCCCTGATCCCAGGTGAGCGCGCCGCCCGGCGAGCGAGGATGCGCTCCTCTCGGTGCTCCCGTCGCCGCGCACGAGCGACGCCGGCGCGCGCCGGGGGCGCCAGAACGGCCAGGCCGTCGCGCGCCGGCCCGCTTGGCCAGCCTATGGGGCCGCAGCCGTGACCCACGCAGCCAAAATACCAGCTCGGGCTCAACTATGCTGCCGCCGCATGCCTTAAAAAAACGTTGTACCGCCGCTTCCTCACAGCTTTTCGCGCGAAGGCGGCAGGCTGCTCCCTTGACGCTCTTTCCTATAGCCGAAGGCGCAGTAACTAAGCAACGAAGAAACCACATCGGTTCGCGAAATGCCCCGCTGCCATCTCGAAGGCCCATCGAGCACGCGCAGTTTCTACGAGGAAGATCGTCGCGCCGACAGCTTGCAGCGTTGCGTTGTGTGTTCGGGCACGTGTTGCATGTCAGCTGAAACTGCCCGCAATACTGACAGTCTCAAACGTACTTTGAGAGCTGTCGCTGTCTGCCAACTCGCATGCAGCACCAAGAGTGCCAACCAGGTTGACGGCTGTAGCTTAGAGGAAGCGTGTGCGAAAGCGTAAACTTATAGTTGCATTCGCTGTCGCCGGGTTCCCTGGATCGTGCACCACTAAGCCTCGTCGGGGAAAGGCAGCGCCAAATAAAGGCATTCATTTATCACGCAAAATGAACGATAGGTGCTTGCACCAAATCAGAACATTAGTTCGAGCAGAGCAGCAACAGTGCTTAGTTATAGATTAGTTTTATGGAATGCAGCATGGACACCTTTTATGAATATACGAGGCCAAAGTCGGCAAAGTGAATTTTTTGCCGGGTTTTCATTCTGAACAATATGGTATCTTTTTTGCTCTTCCTTAATCTAAAAACAAAAACGCGAGTTTTCTTTCGTGTCAATTCACCAACATCCGTGTACATCGCCCCTTGGCAGAAGTCTTTGAGAAAGGCGCCGACACACGCAGCTTTTCTTGACCATATATCGCCTCGAAATAATCAAACCAGCTAAATGTTGCTAACTTTGCAAGTGTTCCAGCACTGCGTATGTTATGGAGCGTTACAACAAGAAGAATGGCACAAGAAGAATGTGGCGTTTCTACAATAGTGCTGTGTTTTTGTGCGTATACTCTCTGTGAAGCGGGGACACCTGTTGTCTTCTTGATGGTGTACCCTTTACGTGCTCGCAGATTCTACAATATCCACGCTTTGAGAGTACTCGAGTTCACAGACCGTGCGTGTTTACAAAGCACTTTCCATATATGTCATACATCGAGCAGTTCCGTACTCCAACAGGTGCCGGCCGCTCTATGTTTTTGTCGCTTCCCTTACCTTGTGCTTGTACTTGCTAGACCATCCTGCTTCAAAGCACACATCATCGTTTTTCTCCGCACGAGTGCGAACAAAGAGCCCACTGTTTGCTTTCGAACGCGGCCGTTTCCTGCTAGCGCCGCTGCAGTATGCGTCTAAAGTAAACGAGGCGAGAGCATGATCCGTTTTCTTCCTTCGTTTTTTTCTTCGTGCACTTTTTTTTACATACCTCGAAACGTGCGCAGACGATGGGTCAGCACAAAACCACCGTGGCCTGCAATGGGCAAGTGCTACCTCTTGAGCTAGGTCGCCAGTTTCCACTGGCACCACTTACGCAAGGCTATAGGCAAAAATGGCATGCCATTAGTCGTCGTATTAACGCCTGAATTGAGCAAAAGCGCGGAGCGTAAGTCAGTGGGTGATTACACGTCTATTCAAGAAGTGGGCTTGTCTTGCCGTATCGCAGCAGTACCTCAAGACGTTCCTTAGGATGGAATGTTTCGGTATGCGGGCAACATGTACGTGTGCACGTGAGCGTGCGTATACGTTATTCCAGTCCAAACAAGAGTACCGACGGACATCGCTACTGTTCACTTATGAAGATAATTTCAAACCAAGCATGTTTTACAAAGATCTGTGCGTCTGGGCAAAATTATACGAAGAAAAACAAACTCTGCAGCCACATTTGTTGGAAGTTTTCAATATTAAAAACTCGCCCTATATGTTGCGAGACCCATTTGCTCTCTTCAGGGTGTGACTGTCCGGCCGGTTTCGAACTATAGCGACTCTTTTTACTGCTTGTCTTCCTCTCCACCATCATGCGTCCCGTCGAGTGCTTATCTCACTGTTTGCTCATTTATCAGTGAATATTTTCCGCTCCACATCATATAGGAGCATACGCCATGATCTTGGAACGATAGAATGTAAAGCTATGTCAATATGATTTTATTCCAAGCTCCTGATGAGTAACCGCCAACGCAACCATACAGGCAGTAATCAACGTTTTCTAAACTGCTCTCTCACGCGCGCTCATCGTTTGCAGAAGGTCCTTTCTGTTTCGTTTGAAAGCGCACTGCATAGCCTGCTCTGGCGAGTCACAGCGACTGGCGACAGCTGAAAAGCTCACAGAGGTGGACAGGGTTTAGGGTACGCTGGGCTAACGGAGGTAAAAAAAATGAATCACGGGGGGTAAATGGCTCGTCGTGCCTGAATCTTTTCACTTATCTTACTGTGGTTCTTCACGCGTAGCTTATTCCTGCTGGAAAGGCTCAATAACGTTTTAGAGTTACGCGAAATATTTTTTCTATGCAAGGAAATATATTCTCGCAGTGTATCCAACGCAAGTGAGGTAAGAGGGCAGCCTTGTTCTGTTCGTTTCGTCAAGGGGTGTGCCCCCTAGATTTTTCAAAATATTTTCAGTTCGTTCAGCGGAATCATGTATTTGTTAGTAGGTGCAAATAAAATTGAAGTGGTGCGTTTCCGGTATTGTGACGCCGGCTCGAGAAATTTAGAATTTCAATTTATAGCAACTAAATTAAGTAAAAAAACGTAAAGTTAGGAAAGTTTTGGTTTTGTTCGTCATATCAGGTGTAAATGTTTCAATTTGAGAGTGAGAGTATTTGAATTCTTGGAACCTCATATGAAAAAAAGGTTAAACGCAGAGAAGTCACTGCTCGAAATCTTTGTTAACAGCCACAAAGGGCAAATAACTAATTCATAATTGGAAAGACTAGAATATCTTTACGTTATTGTGATCATTGATGTACCAGAGGTACGAATGGGTGCAGATTCACTCCAAAAGGTGGAAATTGGCTGATGCGAAAAATACACTAACCACCACAGTCCAACACTCTGTGACTTCTCTCGCTAGCCTGCGGCGAACGACGCTAAAAATAAAGGAACAAGATCGCGTGGTGCGTGCGAATCGCAGAGGACGCTCCAACATTACACCTTGTGGATTATGCGAGTCATATCAGTCTGTTTCTGTTTAAACCTACCAATGAAGTTCGACTAATTGCTCTCAAGATTGCTCACCAGCGAGCACGCATGCAAGCCTCCGTTACCTATAGTAAAACACTCAAGAACATGGAAGACTTTTTAGCTTCGCATTCAATATAACGCGATAGCATAATCTGATGCGTTTCGCATTGCCTTCTCAATCGCCAGCCCATACCTTCGCTTATAGGTGAACAACGCGTCTAATGTCGGTGTGCCTGTAGCATTGGCAGTTTCAAACTATCCCAGAATGCCTACTGCAAGGGCTATCGCAAAATAAGGCCTTTTGCGAATCAGCCAAGCACCCTGTATACGCGTCCTTAAGGTGACAGGCGAACCTACGAAGATGTAGATACTCACTTTGTTGGAAGTGTTGCTGCTGTAGTGATTACTAATTATGCCCGAGCGCGTTCTAACTGATAGAACGTTAAATCACCATTTCCATGTGAAATTAACACGTTTTGACAGTTGGTGCGATTCTACGCTTCTGTCACGCGATATGGCATGCGTTAAGGAGACTCCCTACTTTATGTGACATTCGTATGCGATTTTTCCCCCGCAACAGTTCCAAGCAGTGGATTAGCTTGGTGGCATAACAACTGCTTGCCACGCAGATGAACTGCGTTCAATTACCACTCGAACCAAAGATTTATTTATTTTTTCTATCTCGATTTTTTTGCATGCAGCCAACGACGCTGACATCTAAGTCGACACCAAAATTTTGGTAAAACGGGCTCTTTAGTGCTATCGTGTTCATACGATGTATTGGCCCAATACATTCGCACAGCGTGTTGCCACTCTGAAGCAACAGTGCTTTATTTTTCTTCGCTGGCAATAGTTACTACAGTGAAACTCTTAGCTAACGTGGTGGCTTGGGCAGTGCCGCTGTCTGTCTCCTTCTTTTCTTGTCCTTCGTTATTGGCGCTGTTTTTTATGTGAAACTCTAAGCTCTTATTTCTCTTTGCACCTGTGAGCAACGGTGTTAAATATATCTTTTACGCGCTGAATTGCAAAAAAAGATGCCGCAGTGGGACCTTGCAAATAGGGTCCCCGTCTCTCTTCTTTTGCTTATTTCCTTTCATGGAGATGTCTAACGGTCATGCCTCTATATTTTAATCCTTTTATCATTAAAATCTTTCATATTCATGCACCTCTTTGCGTAAGCTTCCTGATTTATTGATATGTGGGGTTTAACGTTGCAAACCCTCGATATGATATTGAGACACGCCGTAGTGGAGGGCTACGCGAAATTCGGCCACCTGGGGTTCTTTAACGTGCACCCAAATCTGAGCACACGGGCCTACAACATTTCCGCCTCCATCGGAAATGCAGCCGCCGCAGCCGGGATTCGGTCCTGTGACCTGCGGGTCAGCGACCGGAGTACCTTAGCCACTAGACCACCACGGCGGGGCAAGCTTCCTGAACAAGCAGCTAGCTTTCATTGCAGGTACCAGGCTTGATGCAGAATACTGCTCAACAGAAGCAATGCTTTTTTTGAAAAAAAAAACTGGAATTTTTTTTCCAGAACTTGTCAAAAGACGCCTCAGTTCTTGGGTAGCATGAAATCTCATTACTGTCAATTTACATGTTTCACAACATTTTTTTTTTGTTCTTGTTCGTTCCAACCATAACGATTCTTCATCTCCCGGCAGCACATGAAGTAGAGACCTAATGGCGTGCGCGATG